GTGTGAATTTCGGCGGATAGTTGGACGGGATAATTTAGTTTGGAGCGCCATGGTCCCGTCCATCGTGCGCTCCATCGGCGTTTTTTGAATAATGCCAAGTATTCTGTTGTTGATAAGTATTGTATTGATATGGACAGTCTTTTCTGAAGTGTCCTTTTCTTCCACACATGTAACATTTTGTCTCATTTAATGAATATAAGTTGCGTTGTTTACGTGTGCCTTGTGTTGAATAATATGATTGTCGAGGTGTGACATTATAATTGCCATTTCTATTCGACGTAAAATTTCCTCTGTTGTTTGATTTTGTTTGTTGGTTCGTTTGATGAGCTAACATTGTTTGCACCTCGTGATGATCATCGTTGTTATACATTGCTGTTGTTGCTATATCATTGTGCAATAAGTCGTGGTTATCATTTCTATGTTGTTGTTTGTTTCGCTGATAGAGTATTTCTTCAATTTTTGGAGCTTCAGTGATAATTTCATCTAATGATTCACATCGGGATATTCCAATCATCGTTAATAAATTGTTTCTCATCTTACACATCAGGTGTCGGATGGGATCATTTTCTGTTTCATTCGGCTTTTGTTCTTGCCAGAGGGCACGAAGTCGAACGATGAACTCATTAATTGTTTCATCTTCTTCTTGTTTACAGTCTTTCCATTGTTGTTCTTGTCGTGCACGTCGGATTGGTGAGTTAAATTGATTGAGAAAAATTATCTTGAATTCGATCCAAGCTTGTGGACGTCGATTTGAGACACGTAGTTGGCAGTACCACTCAAGGACCGTACCTCGAAGAAATTGTGAGATGCCGTTGAGAAGCAATTGGTCATTCCAATAATTTATTGTTTCTGCGTATTCTTTGACTCGAATGAGGAATTAACGAGGACTTTCAAAGGTGCTTCCACTAAATGTTGGTATTGATGATGATGGTGGGATAATGATGGTGTGTGCTGTTTGAGCGGGACGTTCATTTAATAACATTTGTCGTGCATTATTCTCAGCCTGTTGTCTTTGTTCTGTTATATTGTGGTGATCGGATTCACCATTATCAAATGATTCATTGATTGCTGATGAATTAAGTTGTGTGTGAGGCGTGGATACGTTCTCTTCCATTAGTTGATTTTGATCATTTTTTCGTAATGCTTTTGTTTCCAGCGCCTCACAATTTGTTTTCATTTCTGTTCTCATATCTCGAATATTGTTTGTTAATTGCTCCCACTGTTGTTGTTTTTCTTCTAATTTGGACGTTGTTGTGGCTTGCAATTCTTCTGTTCTTTTTTGAATGGTTTCGATTTGATTTATCATTTTTTCTTGTACATTCATCATTTCATTTGGTACGTCCATGTTCATATTTTTATGCTGTTCTATTAAATTGAGGTGAATTTCATCTAGTTTTGCCTCGAGCGCATTCAGACGCGTATTGCTGTTGTTATTTGCTTCCGATAATTTTTGGACCGCTTGTTCAATTGTTACTTTTTCAGATGCCATTATTTCGCTTAGCTTATTTATTTATTTTCGATTAGAACATTGAGGTTTAGTTTGACAGGGTCGCCATGTAACGAGCAAGAAGCTATGTCGTGTTTTTCTACTCTCCCCCCATGTCATAAAAATCGCTTAAAAATCGACGATTTTATCGCGATTTATTAGCCCGATTAATCGTGCGATTATATCGCGATTAATCGTTTGAACTGGTGATATTTACCGATTTATTTCTCGATTTTCAGCAAAAGATCGCGATCTGTCACTGCTTTTGCAATTACTTATAAATCAGCTTTATAGACCTAAGTTAACATTTCTCTTTTTCATTTATTAGTAATAAACAAGTGTTGCTGAATTACTTTCATCATAGGTTATCCTTTTTTTATTGCACTAAAGCATAAATAAAAAAGATGCCTACAGTTAAAACTAACAATACAATAAAACAAGATGATGAATGAATGTGAGAACGTTCAATATATAAAGGTACTTTCGTAAAACAAATATGCTATATGTACATATGAAATATTTTCATAAAAAACAACTAAAGTCTACAAAAACAACTGTCGTCTGTTTGTATGGAACTCATAATAATCACTATGTTTCCGATTGTGAATTTGATGCTACAAGTGGATCATTTGATGCATCTATGAATCATGCAAAGGAGAGAAATTATTATAATTAAGTAGAATGATAAATTATGTTTTACCTTTATTTGATTTAGCGTACAATCTTTTTCGTTGATTTCTACGTTTGCTCAATATTGAATCATGAATGGGAGGCCAAATGATCGACATGTCATTGACTGAAAAGCCAAACTTATGCTGAACTGCATCTAAGAGAAATAGAATTAAATAGAAACAGAAAAAAATTGGTACAAGTTTTTCTTACTACGTATGGCTTTGATTCTTTCATCTTCATCGGCCTTCTTTACATTAATGTTTTGAAATTCTTGATCATCAATAAATACTACGTCAATAAGTTTTAATGCATATTTGATTGTGTTTTGCTTGGTACCATATATTTTCAAAAGATCTATTACTTGACCATCACTTCGATTGTATGACTAAACGAACAGATTAATCATGAGCATGTAGGCACGTTGTTCATAAAATATATTAAGATGAGGAGAGATTAATAAGACTCTTTACCTTCAAAGCATTCGTGGATTCTTCATCATGTGTTGCGGTTTCTTCATCATCATCTTCAAGAACAATTGGAATCTAGAAATAACGTATTTTAATCGGCGAGCTATATGCATTACAAATATAATTCTTACTTTATGCTTATTAAAACTTCGAACGATTTTCTTTTGATTCACACACAAACTATTTAAAAACTTGTGTTGACGTTCCATAGTAATTGACATTTGACTTTGTTGCTTTTGAACTTGTAAAACAATAGCATTAAGTTCTTTGACATGATGAAGTACTTGTTGAAAGCCATAATTTTGATTTTCATCTTGATCATCTTCATCGTTTATTAAGAGACGAGATTTTTTTACGATCGGTATTTTTGTTATTGGTTTCAAGTTACGTCTTTTCGAACAAGCAGACTTTGAATTTGAAGTTAATTTTTGACTTTTTGAAGGGATATTATAGTTAAAATCATCATCATCAAATGAACTATTTAATTGATTTTCATCATTGACTTTGACATCATCTGAGTCCGATGAATCTCTATCATTATCTGCATCATAATAGAAAAGATAAAAAATGACTGATTAAAGCTAAACTGTAGGATTACCTTCTATAATAATTGGACATGAAATTGATTGATTGCCTTTTAAATTCGATTTTGATGCTGATGATGATGATGATGATGATGATGATGATGATGATGATGACGATGATGATGATGATGAATATGTTTGCCCAGACTTCTCATTTACAGCTGATGCATCACCTTCTAATTGCATAATAAGACAAACATTCAATAGGTCTCTATATAAGTTACTCACCAACGCGAATATTGTATAAAGTCTCAGTTGTAGAACGTACTAAAAAAAATACTCTGATATACATGAGTTTTAGCGCACTTACGCGATTGCTCTTCACTTGCTGATAACACTGGATTTGATTTTGAAGTAGTTGTTAATTTTTTTTGTCGAATTTCTTGTGCTTTTTTTACTTTCCATTCTTCGCAATCAGATGGAACTTCCTCGTGCATTTGGGATTGCATCGCTTTTTCAAGTAAAATGCCATAGCGCTCCATCGACGCTCGTGTACCTATACGAAATATATCAAATAAAATACAGTCTGAAGATTGAAGAAGAGTAAACGTGCCAGTTTGTTCAATATGAACATTGTATGATTTTCCAAGCTCCTTAATAATCCCATAGCCTTGTTCATTAACATGTAATAAACGCTTAGATTCAACTATGCTGTACTTCGAAGGTTCGTCGATGTAAACGATGCATGAATAACTAGTTTTTTCTTTAAATGAACGTTGAGTTAAATAAGGACGTTCATATTCATTCCTTTTTGAAGTCATCTGAGATAGAAAGAATATATTATTATACATGATAATTTAACTGCCGTGTAAAAAAATTAATGAAAAACTGAAGATCTAATTCTGCTAATTAAAAACAATCAGCGTGTTCATAAAAGTTACATTACATATATATATATATAAATGTATTAATAAAAAAAGAATATTAAGTTCAATCGTGTTCATAATTTATGCGCCTTTCACTAATGCATTCATACTGTTTAAAAGGTACTGAGATGCATTTACTTCTGATATTCCCAGCTTGAATAATAATAAATTCATCATTTAGAGAGCATATTGGATAAAATGAATCAAGTATATTTTTAAATTTCTCTGGAATATTCAGTTCGTCAGATATTCGTATATTAGTGCGACGAAATTGTTGTATCAATGAGTAATATTGATTTTCTAATGAATAAAACAAGATGATGTTACCATATTGAATTTGATGATGTTGATCGTTATAAGATACTAAATAACTATTGCATGAAAATCGTTTATCATACAAGACCGAGTGATATGTAACAAATTTGTCTTTGAATCTTAAATAAAATTGAATTTTGAGCGCATCATGTTGTAGAATATTCAGGTTTTCATTTAATTTTTTCTTGTAAGGATTTAAAATACTACTATTTAACTTGATTTCGTTTATCAAAAACCTTGATGGTGGTTCAGATTTTTTCGTGATGACAATACTTTCAATATCATACCAAAATGAAATTTGGGAACCCAAATGCTTTGTTCCGTGGGCCTTTTTTTTAACATGACGAATCGCCGATTCAAAACAAAACGACGAAGTGAAAGCCATTGCTCCATGATCTAAAATAGATGGTACAAAAATGACACTGAAGTTTTAATACATTAATGATGAGAAAAACAATTTATAAAAATGTGAAGATAATTATGAAGTTGATCCTTACTTAACACTTGGTTTGGCAAATGTAAATGGGCATGTAAAGAGTACAATTCGATCTTTTGATCATAAATTGTCGATGCATTCTTACAGTAGTAATGTATCATTGTATCGGCTAATTCGATCTCCTCAAAACTTCTTGGACAGTGCAATATTTTGATGGCCATGCAATAAATGGAAAAATGAGACGAATACAGTTCTGGTAAATGTTGTATAAGTATTGGTAAACCTACATTTAATATGAATAATCTGGAATCCTTCGCTTTCCAATCATTAACAGATTTAATGGAATATATATATTTCACGTGCGCATCATGCGGCAAATGAAGATTAGATAACATTGAATCTATGCCATCAATATCATTTTTTGTTAATATACAAGTAAAGCGTTTCAGTAACGTTGAGACATGGTTAAGACAGATTAAATGCATATAATCATGTATAATATCGTCAGGATAGCGAAAAAGTTTTAGTAAACATGACAATCCTTTAATACCAATAACTGATGAATGATATTTAGCATTAGTGTTAGATTTTTCAACTCCTGCTGCAATTGTAACAAAATCTTCATGATTTCTTGATTGATAATTATTATATTTGTATGGGTAAATGATTTGTTTATTTAGCAGCGTTCCTAAATAAGAAAAATAAAAAAAATTAAATAGTAGCAAAAAAGAATAACAGCATACAAGAATAAAAAAATTACCCTCTGTGATACAGTTTGTACAAGCAAAGTAACCATTAAAGTTAATGGTTTTAGTAAACAATGATTTCGCCGGTAGATCAGACACAAAAAATAGTGTTTTTACGTGTATTTGATACTCATTTCCATCTACAAATATTGATGTTCCATTTTCAGCTAGATCAGTAATTTGTTTTATGATATCTAAAAAAAAAACATCCACATCTGGCTTCTTGCAGGATACCCATAATCCTAGTATTAAAATATTAGAATAATGTTCCCTAATTGGTGGAGGTAATTCCATGATTGAGCTAAAGCAAGGCCATATTGCTGACTTTGTTGAACGTACTAAAGGTGCACCATCAACAAATACATTAAGTGTAATTGGATGAACAATGCCTTTTGTAATAAAAGTATAACGACTACCACTTGTAACATCAAAATCAGGAAAAAGATCGATATTTCCGGTAAAGAAAGAGATATTTTTTTTAATAACATATTCTAGTTTCTCTCTAATATTTGTAGTGATAATTTCTGTCAATTGTCTCTGTGACAATTTTAAATTAGAAAAGATACAAGTTGAATTTGTACAATATTGTTCACCGCGTTTGCATGTTGTTAAGGTAAGACATTGGTTACAATAAAACTTAGTCATAGATGATGGATTTTTCCCATATAATTTTAATACCTGATTAAACGTTATTGGAAGTTGATTCGGTATTGGTAGTAGAGATTTGATCAAACGCATCAATGCAAACACCTTGGCTTTATCGAAATTTGAACTATTACAAAAATTCATTATAAATTTAACAGCTTCAGTCACACTTATATGCGCATCTTTATATAATGGTGATTTTCCATCTTTTGAGGATAGGAAATTATCATGTTCATTAAAATTATCCTTTTCCGTCGAAGAATAATATTCTTCGAAGTTATCTTGACCGAGAAAATCAGGATCAACAACATTATCTACCAGCACTTGCTCATTCGTGGTTGTTGTTGTTGATGTTTTCTTCTTAAGAATATTACGTTTCACTATATCAATCGAGTAGCTAGTTGAATCAGTATCATCATCGGATTCATTTTCAACTACTTCTTGATATTGCTTCTTTCTTTTGTTTCTGCGTGCCCTTTGTTGACAAAACTCGTCCAGTGTAAGATTCATTACCATTTTCCATTATAAGAACAAAGCCAAAAATAAATAGAATCAGGAATCGATTATGTGCAATAAGACGTTTAAAATATTTTAATATTCACTACGTAGGTTTAAGAAGGCTTAACACATTAACATGGATTGCATTATAAAATAATTACTGGAGAACAATGACTCTGATTGTGTTCCTATTGGTTGACGGACGTGAACCAGTTAGTATCCAATCCGCCGTTTTTGTCTACTCGTAATAAACGAAATTCAGCAATAACTCTGCAAATGAACAGAAAAATATATTTGTTTGTCTGAATAAAATAAAACAAATAATTTTATCTGGAGGCCATCAAACATTTAGTTTTAAATATCGCGATTTATCGGCAATATTATGCAGATTAGCGATTAATCGCGATTAATCGCCGGGCTTGCTACTTATGTAAATAATTGCCGGTAGCTCGCGATTTCTTGACGATTTTTGTTCAGACTTAACAAGATCGTCAATTAATCGCAATTAATTGTCGATTTTTTAAGTTGAATCGCGATTAATCTGCGATTTTCTTCAATTTCACGATTAATCGCTAAAAGTCTCGCGATTTCGATGACATGGGTAGGATCGGAATCCGATATTATCCGATCGTATCCTACTCTGGGATCCGATTCGCCAAAAAAGTCTGCTATACTCAACTTCTAAAAAGCTCTTATGCACTAAATAGAATTTTGATATTTTTTTTAATTCTTCCGTCGGATCCGTCAATAGTTCCGAAACCCAGAATCCAACTGGATTTCCTCGGTTAGTAGGATGTTTTAGGATCCGATAGCATCCGTCGTCGAATTGGTCGACCTGGGTAGTCTCGGTGTTACATGAATGTTATAAAGATTTAACACAAAGAAATAGTACCAATGCAAATGGTATTCAAAAGTTAATTGGTGATTTAATTGAAACAATAACAGACAACAAAATTGGTAATGAAAATGAAAAGTCTGCCATCATTTTTGGTTTTTGCGAAAAAATTGGCATCAAATTTCAAGAACTGGAAAACGTTATTGTTCAACACAGCACAGAAATTGTCGATCTGAAGAAAGACAATGCTGAACTTAAGGCATCTATTGTGGATTTGAAGGACAGTGTTGATATAAAGGAATGCTTCAACAATTCTAACGATCTTGCCAAATTATTTATTTCTTATTATATCACACCAAATATTAAAAAAGAATCATGAATATAAAAATAGTTATTATAGTTGGACGTTATTCAATAATCGCCTTTCAGTCATTAAGCGTGAAGTTAAAAATTTCATAAAAAGTCAAAAGGATTTAGAAGACTTTATCAGGCCATTACAACAAGAATTAGATGCATCAAACATTGATATTCTAGCTATATATGATTTAATTCATGCACGAAATGCCTTAAATCATCGAGAAATTCGTTCTAGTGTGGAACAAGAAAATTTCCTTGAAGAAATAAAACAATATCAATTTTCAAAAACATTTATTTATGGCGATCTGACTATGAAAATGATTAACAAATTAAATCAAGCCAAATTAAAACGATATACAAACTAGATTGAAAAAAATTGACCTATATCTTATTTTTTTAAATATCATCTACCCAGGTCATTATCGATCAGTCGTTTCTTGTCGGATGGGTTATAATTCCGATGTCACATGGTGACCGGATTCGGTCGGGCTGTGGGTGTGGGTGTGGGTATGAATGTGACATGTTTGTGACTAATCAAACCACACCCAGATCCACACCCACACCGATATTTGTTGATTCTTTGCCAATAAAATCTATTCTGGAAAATATCTATGATTTTTATCATCATCAGTATTTCGATGTCATTAACAGTATTATTAATTCAATTAATTTACGTTTTAAACAATCGATATTTCCTTTATTATGTATACTAGAGCAATTTCTTTTGCAAACAGTTAATGGCTCTGAAACAGTTGATGAGACAAATACAATAGGTGTTAATGACATTAGAGAATTTTTAGCTGATGATATTGATGCAGAAAAATTACAAAGAGAACTAACGATGCTACCGGATTATTTATCGGTTATTAGAAAGGAAAAAATTATGGTTTAAAAAAAAATACAAAGATTAGTACAATATGTGAACTTTTAAACATACAATCAATTGGAAAAACTATGTTTTCTGAATTTAGTAAAGTTCTATCGCTGTATTTAACTGTTCTTGTAACAACAGCTACCACAGAGCGATCATTTAGTGCTATCAATCGCATTAAAACGTATTTACGTAGTTCAATGACTCAGCAACGTCTCAATCATGTTATTATTCCGCACATTCGCAAAGAAAAACTAGATTTGCTTGATTTGAATAGTATTTGTTCTGAGTTCATTTCAAAGAATGAAAACAGAAGAAAATTTTTCAGTGATCATTAATTTTATTTCTTACATGGATTTTAATTTTTTTTTGGAAACGCTTTCTTCTAATTTCACTATTTCTGTCTTGTTTCAAAACAACTAAATACATACTGATTACGGTTATGTAGGATAAAAATCTAGCAATAAAAGGTGGATGTTTTTTACTAAAAAAGACACCAAAGGATACTATTGTCTGTTTTAAACCTGCATCTGACCTACTTGAAGTAAAAAGTTGAGCCTACTATAGATTGAAATCGCTCCGCCGCCTATATACATATACATCGCCTAAACAAAAGTAGCCGTTAGTGAATATTTTAATCTGTCAAACGAAAAGTACATCTAGATTACAAAAATTAGCTTATATATTAATATTTGTTTTGAGATAAGAGCTAAGCTGAATAATATCCGCAGTTGCTTTTAACTCCTAATATCTATCACCAGTGTTGATACGATTAAGTTATTTGAGTCATTAAACTCTATATCTAATTCAAGGTAAATAGTCGCATAAAAAGTGCAGAATGAAAAAAGTGGCTTCGTTTTTGTTATCATATTACCTATGATTTTGCTATTATTTGTACACACAAGTACTGTTTCATCCAAAAATACATCTATAGTGAGCATGAACCGAATACAGTTGGATAAGGATCTTTTATACAATCAAAAACATAGATTGAAAGTGCGTACACGATATGTTTGGACAACTGTTCAGTTAATTATCATCAGTTATTATTAGAATCTATGTAAGCTTCATAATGAAAAGGGTGTGGGTGTGAGAGTCTAATAAATAATACACCCACACCCACACCCACACCTATAATTGAAGAGCAACATCAAATACTTGTAATGTTTAGTATCGATTAATGAATGAAAAAAGCAGCACATTTTTGCAAAAACTTTATACTGTCAAAAACCTCATGGCATTTATGAATTTTTTTCTTCTTTTTGAGTATAACGATTCCTACCATATAATATCATTGTTTATTTAACACCCAATACTGGTGGATTAAGAAAATCAGTATACATATTCTGTGTCATTAGTAGGGTAGAATAAAAACTAAGTTAGGAAGAAAAATAATACTCGGAGAGTTGATGCATCGAAAAATGTCTAAGAATGGTGAATAGATTCAGTACTAGAGGAATAGGCTTTTCTTCTTGAAGAACCCGATTTACCAAAAATAATATATGTTCAGTTTTGCATCTATTTATCAGTATTGGACAAACTTTTGTACTCGAGCATTAATATACTCAACGACATAAAGACTATATTGACTGTCCATGACTACTCCCGAAGGTGTATTGAAAAAGCCAAGTGCAGTACTTGTGACACCAGTTACACCTGCAACCGTAGATCCATTCGTTTGACCGGCTAGAAAGTATTGTATACGGTGGTTTCCTTCATCGGACACGTAGATGTTTCCAAATGGATCAAGAATAACATCTGTTGGGTAGCTCAGTAGTTCCGGCGTGCTACCAATCATTCCAGTGCTACTGCCCACAATTAATGTCCATGTACTACTACCAAGCACCCAACGAACAATATTATGAGCTCTGTTGTTGGTAATAAGAAGACTATTTGTCGATGCATCGTACACAAGACCGCGTGGATAATTTAATTGATTGTTGTTTGTTCCGTTTCCATTTCCACCAGCAACTACAATTCCTGTGGATGCTCCCGATAAATATTGCATGACGCGATGATTAAGACTATCAGATATATACAAAGTTCCCGAGATCGAATCACGGGCTAAACCCATTGGTTGATCAAACTGATTGTTAGCAGAGCCAGCAACACCTAGAAGAATTTAAGAGACAGTATTATATCGAGAAATGGGACATGCGCTCAAAAGTCTTTAGTTAGATCGTTTATTGTTTTTTAAATATTTAATAGAATTAAAATGTATTGTGCATTGTATTCTTACCAGTTCCAGCAAGCAAAACACCTACGGACGCACCAACTGCCCAATATACAACTCGATTATTTCCTCCATCAAGGATATACATATTTCCACTAGCATCTAACACAATACCAGTAGGATAATTCAGAAAATTTAGAGCTGAACCTGTTGCTGCATTTGACTGTCCAGCGACAGTCGTACCACTTGCTGTATTAGGTAACCACTGTTGAATTCGATGATTACCATTGTCAACAACATACACAGCATTGGATGAATCCACTCCCAAGGACAAAGGATAATTAAGGTAAAGAGAACCCACACCTATCGTATTGGTAACCCCAGCCACGATTATACCTGTCGAGTTCCAACGTGATAGAAATGGAACTCCTATAAAAATGATACAGAAATTAGCCTTCTCTTGAGAAAATTTCAGGAAAAAACTAATCGGATTTCTAAATAATACTCTATAGCTCAAGTTTACATTGTTGTATGTCTTTCTTTATTGGTTTTGTGAATATTCAATAATTTCAAGATATGAAATAATGACAGTTTGCTGAGTGTTTTTTTTTCTCATTGAAATTGATCCTCTGTATACCTGTGGAACTGCTGTTCGATGATCGATTATTAGCATCGCCACTTCGATTGTAGAACACAAGCATTGCTATCAAAATTACAGCTGCAGTAATAAAAGCACAAGATGTGCCTAATCCCATACATATCTTCCATCTCGTGGATAAGCTGAAATTTAAAAAAAAGATAAAAAACATTTGATTTATGATTCAAATAGTTTTACGTTGAGCCGTCGTTTTCAGCCGATGGAAGTTTTTTTACATCGACATTCACATTCTTCAGTCTTGGATTTACCTAAATCAAAAACAATACACACTCTGTTGTGTCTTTATGACTTTTCCGGGAAGAGTCTTCCCGGTCAGTTTTTGTTATCACAAAATCATCGCATCTAAGGAATGACTATTTAACTGTGTTGAAAAAGAAAGGATCATTGTGTTCAGCTATTCTGATTAACCTTTCTTATACAATCGCGTTAGGTAATGAATTAATGCCTCATCAGAGTTCAAAAATAAAAATTGGAAAAATGAAACGAAAATTTTTTTTCTTGTAGTTTTGATTATTAATTCTAATCAAAAGATTACCAGGCGGTATCGAAATTTCTTTTTCTGCGAGTTCTTTGTTATATGAAAAACATTTTTTTGTATTCGTATTGTACTAGTACTTATTAATTATGATGACATTTCAGCATAACTACATCCTCGGATCGATGTTTTCATAAAAAATTCAACATTCTATGCGTTAAATTAGCTCAATTATTTTGAAAAAGACTTTCCGCGGCTCATTCAGTTTCCTACATCTGTCATGGCTGAAATAATGTTAGCTTTCAACAAAATAAGGCGGCATACATAAGAAACTACTACTTCAAAAAAATTACTTTTGTTGTCAGTTTGTTAGAGGAGCCCATTTGTTCTGAATCGTCAATACAGAGAATGCTAAGCAAAAAGTCGATGTGTTGTCTTTCATTATGAAACGTCACTCTCGAATTTATTATATAGTTCGTAAAACAAAAACAAGCATGCATTATTATTCTTCTCAGCACTTAGTAAAATGAAAGTTGATTTGAGGGGCTTTTTCACTTGCTAGTTATGTATAGAAACAAATAAGCTGTCTTTTAGGGTTCTCTATCATTAGAAAATCTGCCATTAAAACATGTGAATGAATAATAATGTATTTTTTGTTTTTAAGCATGTTCGACTTCAACAGTAATAAATGAGCACTTTTACTAAAAGAACTTTGAATGATTGGTCATCATTTTTTTCTCAATCGAAATAAAAACAGGTATGCAAACATTGCACAGCCTTCCAATTAAGTTTTCAATGTTCACGAGAATGCTCTACTTACGATTTAGATTCTTTTCGCCGATTACGTATCAATATTATGTATGAAACTTCATGTATTCTTCTGGCAATATTGTTCACAATTAAAAGGGAAGATTTCAGTGTTTAATTCTTACTGGAGAAGTTCAGTTAATAAAAAAAAATGATACCTATTCGCATTGGCAACTTTTCAAACAGTCGAAAGTAATCGAATTATAAATTATAATAGGAAATATATGTGTCAAAACGAAATAATAATACACAATTTTATTGTAACATAGCATTAAGAATTTAATTTATCTAAACAAAACTTGGAATGATTTCTAAAATAAAATCAAAATTCAAAGGAAATAACACAAATCGTCAATCGATTAAAATAAATTTGCCGCTAGAGCTAATATATTAAATGGCGAATCTATCAGACATAAGCAACCGTGATCTATTCATCGATAAAAAAAGGGCTTTCGTAATATCGGGGTGTAGGTTAGATATCGACTGCACTATGTTCGACCCACATCATCACCTTTCAGAATACGGTATCCGAAGAAAGAAACACCGATGATGAAAAATTGAATTCAACATTTAATTAGTTCGGGCAGGGAACATTTATGTGTAGCAGAAAACATATGACAATATTTATTCGTTATCATATTGCTGTTGACATTAAACTTTTGCAAATGATAGTAGAATTGAAAAGCTTTTCTCGGTCATCTTGAAGCAAAAAGAGGTTGAAAAGAATTGGAATAGTATCACCTGTTCATAGTGCAAACGTTTTGAAAAAATATGCATAAATCAGAAAGATAGGAAGCCTGGTGTCTGTATGTGAATAATCACACTGTAGGAGATGTAAAATCACCAAAGTTCTTTGAGCACTATATGAGTAAGAATCATCAGACGAAATTCGATAAAGTTAATATACTTGGGCATACATTTGATTGCTCAGTAAATAAATCGAAATTTTAGTAATTAGCGTAGAAAAAGTCGGTATCTACTTTTCTTTTGTTCAGTTCGTATCAATATATTTCCGTGTAAATAGTATAATTACAAGTGACATATTGAATAACTTGTGCTATTTTAGATTTTGGTGGTATATTTCGACATATTTATTTTTCTTCAAATTCTAATATCTTTAGCGGGCATGTGGACGAAGCCGAGAATCTTCTCTCTTTCGTTAAACTGTGAACAAAGAGTGAAGACAATATATTTGCGTTGTTGTGTAATTGTAGAACATTGCAAAATTGTATTAAAATATATAAATTAGGTCAATAAACGATGATTCTACGATATAATATGTAGCACACTTGTTTGTATATTTGCCTCACATTTATCTTGAGCCCCATAGAATAAAACAAAAGCTCACTTAATAGAGCAATCGTAATAGTAACTGGTAGCCAAATTTTTCACTAATAATTTCTACTCGAACCTATGTATTATGCACAAAATGAGCTGAAATAGTGTTCAAGATAGACAATATAAATCAATAAACCAGTAAAATGCGTAATATTACCTGTGCGATAAAAAAAAGCATGCTTAAGCTTAACACTGTACACTACTTAAACTGAAGAGCTGTCCAGAATAGACACTTTGAATCAGCGAACCGTTGAAATACACGATACTATCTTTAAGACAAAAATCTAGAGAAGTCGATTAAAAAAAGAACGGATATATGCGGCCCTTCAGAATTAAGCAGCACCCAAGCAGACGAAAATTCTCAAAAACGCGTTTAAACGCAGTAAAACTGAGTTTTCTGTACGTCTGCACGCGTTTAATAAAAAGTGTCCGTTTAAACGCTTCAAAATGTTGTANGGGTGTGGGTGTGGGTGTGGGTGTGGGTGTGGGTGTGGGTGTGGGTGTGGGTGGGTTGGTGTTGGGTATGAGTGTTGGATGTTTCAATATGAACTAAAGGAAAGCAACAGTGATGCCCACACTAGGGGTGGACCATTTAATTTAATTCGAGTTAATTAACGGCGTTAATTAACTCGCGTTAAGTAAAATGGTCCAGTCTTGGAGTGTTAATTTTACGTTAATTCAAAATTAACGCTAGCTAAAAGCGTTAACCGTTTATTCAACGGATTAACGTTATGGGCAAAACCGTTAACCGTTAATATTAACGGTTAACTAACACGTTAACGTTAACTAAAACGTTAACGTTAATATTAACGTTAACTCAAACCGTTAACGTTAATTTAAAATAACCGTTAACGTACCACCCCAAGCCCACACTCACACCCTCATCTACTCACCATGCAATAATATTTGAGTAACGTTCGTTTTTTATCGGAAAAGAAAGAAAGAAAAGAAAATTTAAAATAAAAGCAGTCATTCGTGCCAATGAATTGTATGAAGATGAACACCGTTCATTGTCGATAGTGCAAGTTTATTTTGATCGAAAAGAATAGCTCGATATGGATATGGATAGTACTTCATTGTTTCCTTGAGTTTTCCATCAGTTGTTATCTGAAGAAGACGTCCGATTTCATAGTCAACAATGAGCCATTGCCCAAGCAGACGAAAATTCTCAAAAACGCGTTTAAACGCAGTAAAACTGAGTTTTCTGTACGTCTGCACGCGTTTAATAAAAAGTGTCCGTTTAAACGCTTCAAAATGTTGTATTTTGTCTGTTAACACGGCCACTTTTTACTAAGCAAATATATCTGGACGTTTTCACGCGTCAAAGGCGGCAGTTTAAATCGTTTAAACATCCACTTGGCGAAAAACGCGTATCGGCTATCAGAAAGGCAAATTTTCTGAACGCTTTCTGCACCATTAATATTATGACAATTATGGTGACTTTTCTTGATCATTTTCATTCTTCGAAACGAATTATATTCCGCGTTTTTTGCTCCACATATATTTTCCATTATTTTTTTATCAAATTTAGCCGTTTTAATCACAAAATTATGCTAGAAGATGAAAAGTAACATGAATATTATTTTTGCGCATTCATATTCCTTAATTTTTTCCATTTAAACGCCTAATTTTAGCAGTATTTCATGGTTTAAATGAGTATAAATCCCTTGCTGCATTGCTCTACAAAATTCTAAGAGTTTAACCAACATCGTCCACTGAGTTTCATCAATTTTATAGGATGAAAATTTTCATTGCATTTTTCCTTGAAATTTTTACCGTTTAAACGCTGGAAAGCATAATATTTAACTCATTTAAGCCCACCCCCCCTCCTTCAGAATTGGAACTCGGCAACTGAACATGCTATGATGTTGAAATTCCGTATACATAATTGTACTAGCCAACAATGTATACAAAAAAATTTTCAGCTCTCTATCTCTTTCTTTCCAGGAGTTGTAGTTCCACAATGTGCGAATTTTAGGGCTTTACGCATCTCCAAACTTTTTTAAAGTAAACAATCAAGGAACTATATGAATTTTTTTTTATTTGAAAGCTGACATCAAGGGCTAGTGACACTCGTGGCCCTTTTTTTAAATTTCTTTTTTCTTTGTCTTACAGGTTATGTACAACTTTAAGATTTTTAAATGTATTAAAAAATGGCTCATTTAATGAAAATCTCAGTATCTTTTTCTTCGTCATAAATACTTTTCGAAAAAAGGGCCACGAGCGTCACTAGTGTAAAGTGTCAGCTTTCAAACAAAAAAAGAATTATAGATTTTCTCGATCGTTTAGTTTAAAAAAACTTGGAGATGCGTAAAGACCCCCCCCCCTTTTTTTAGAACCAGAATTTGGTATTGCAAAAACTCAGTTTTCTATGGGAAAAACTTAATGATTTTTTGTTTAAAATCTGTTTCTTTCAAGCGAAA